TCCATAATTTTTATTGTTTTTTTCCAATTATTTTTGTAAGTACTTAGAATTTTTAATTTAGTATCAATATAATAATTAAATTAAATTTTCAACCAAAAACCACTCTCTAAGTTGAAAATTTGAAGCATTTTTACTGCTCCAAAAGTGATGACAATAAAAAAAAACACACACACATACATAATATCATTGTAAAACCACACATTAACCGCTTCGGTGAAAATTTGAAATAATATTACATATCTCAGACTATATTACAAGTAAACATTGTAAACTAAATTTACGATATCACTAAAATACTGTTAATGACTTGAGTCTATACGTGTAACTATATTGAACACACGTAATCATTTTCGTGTTGAAAAGGTTAATGGAAAAATGTAATTTATAGTACGGTAGAGAATATTACACACTTTGAAACACTATAATTGTAAAGTTAACATTAAAACCTCACTTTCGCTCTCACTTCAGTCGCACAACACTTAATCCAATAATTAAGACATATGTATTATGACTATCATGAGTGTAATAATCTATACAGGTAACCCGAATATCCCTTGAGTTGTTACAGTTGTAAAAGTTTGTTTTTGTATAGTTCTATTAAAATTTGTCGAAGAAAATGTTTTTAATCCTAATAATTTATATAAAATTATGTTGTGTAGTACGTATAATACACATACACATACATATTACATATTTTGTTAAACCATAATAATTTATTTCTGTAGGATAGTCAACGATAATGTAGTAATAAACTTATAACTAAATTAATAACTTATGATAATTATTATGATTTATTAGTTAATTATATCATCGATATAGATAAATTCTATTTGATTATGCGATAAAAAACAGACATTTTAATTTATAAGTTATAATATATACCTAACAAAAATGAATAAATGATATATTGAAAAATAAACAAACGATAAATGACAGTAATTATTCAAAAATAAAACGATAAAAACGTGTTTAAATAGCCGAAATTGCATTTATTATTATTGATAGTGATTACAATTTATAAACTATAGTAGTATAATAAATTTTATAAGATCGAATATTTTCATGCGTGGTTTATTATTAGTGAAGCAGAGAGAAATTAAATGAAAAAAAATCTCACAAGCTTAATGTTTGAGTCATCGTTTCAGAGGTACAAGTGGAGTGATCAAATTATTTTATTGATTAAAATTTAGTGGTATTTATCATAATTTATAATGAATGCATACAATTTATGGTTACAGTGGCGTAATTTAATTTTTTTTTTTTAAAGACTGGTAAAATTATAATTAGTCATTAAAAAAAAAAAAAACAGTGTTTGCAATGGCTGTAACAATTTTATTTTTATAATCTTCTCCTGTTGGTTAATAAATAAATACATTTTTTGTTATTTTTAAATATTTATTTCGTATTATTGAAAATAAAAAAATAAAAAGCAATTAATAATTTAAAAAAAAGTTAAATGGACCTGTGTTATAATAATAATAAAAATATCCCATCAATAATAAATAATAATACAAAAACTATAGTAAGTCTACTAAATTACAAAAAAAAAAAAAAATTAAAAATGCATATTAAAGTAAATATCGATAATAAGTAAGTTCGAACTCATCGATGACCAGTGGGGGGAGGGATATGCTTTTGAAATTAAAAGACAATAAGATACGACTATCTCGTCTTCTTATTCCCGCCAAACGACGCATGGACTTTTGCGTTACGACAATTCGACGTAAAAGCCGTTGTTCATTTATAGCCGACCCGTGCAATTTTCGCAGATTTCGCCCGATTTGGGCACGGTTTAGAAATGCGCGAACACCGCGAGGAATCGCTCAGAAATTAACAGTAATCAGAGACTCATTGCCAACGGTTAAACACAACAATAATAGTCAGCTGCAGTCACATTATATTAAATAGATATACGGGTAATCGATATTTCGCCATGGCGGCGGATGGTCATGACACCGCGGACCATCGCGTTTCACAAACGATACACACACACACATGTCGTGAATAATAATATAAGTACTCGTCCGTCGCACGGCGGTTGATTAAAATCTCATCGCATACGGCTATTATACCGAACACTATACGGAGTCGTAGGTAGATATAGCGGTAACAGTGATAATATTGTAATGTAGTAGAGTAGTGGTAACTGCGGTAGTGTGTGTCGCGGTATAATAATAATAATATTTTATTATACTGTATGAGTGTACGACGCGCATTACCATAGTTAATATATTATATTATTATTGTGCGCGTCGCGATTTTATAGTCCGCGAAGGGCAAAATCGAAGGACAGGCTCCACGCTGCCCGCGGACTGTCGGACCGGGATTCTCGAGTTGTTGTGCAGACAGTCGCGTTTAGCGGGTGGTATACGATTTAACAGATGAAATCAGAAATTATTTACAAGTCACAAACATCGTAGATTGTGTTTTGCTTCGTAATAGTACGCACAATATATGGGGTGTACGGTGTACGTGCATTAACATAATGCGCGCTGAAGTGATCCGAAACACACCCGTGACAAAATACATATATCGAACATATACGTAGGTAAATTTACTATAAACGTCCATAAAACCAAGTTTAACCGAGTTTAACGGATTTAAGCTACTAAATTATCGGATAACCATAACCAACGGGTTATCACTTATAGAAAGACGCGCCTTTCTCATTTATATTAGATTGGTTGATAATTTTTATACAAATGTGTTAATGAGCAATACATTGTCTCAATGGGTGTCTATACACACGACATATTATATGGTGTGTTTATGATTTATCATTTTTCTAAATTTTGAGTATCTCTATATAGGTTATATCTTTAGACTTTAGTCGTAGACGTATCTCGTATCTAGCTCCCTTTTTTTCATTCCTAGACTTGTCTGGTCGTTTATGTCGTTTATGATAATATACCTACATAACGTACTTTATGTAAAACTCAGCTTTAGCGCCAATAGGATTCGTTCACTTGGATCTATAGCGCAAGTCAACTATAGATAACACGTTCGTGACACATATATAATATTATTAAACTGTACTTCCTCTTTTTATTTAGGTTAAATGGCGACCTATAATAGTTTAGACTTTCGGAGGCTGAAATCTCAAATTAAAATTTAATCTCGCGGCATAAACTTCCTATACTTACAAGTTACATCATTGCGCGCATACTTGAGAGTTCATCACATCACAATCGCGAAACGTGTTATGAGTGATCATTTACACTAAAGAAGTAGGTATGCAGTATTGTATGTACATAATATGTAATTATATACACTCTGGTATTCAACGATTGTCGATCAAACAAGGTTACTCAAACACAATTTCCTAAAATGGACCGGGGTGATTATTCTGAGAGCAGAACTTTCATTAATTAATCTTTGTATTTGAATAAGAAAAAAATAATTGAACACTAATTGTTGTCATTCATCCCAATGATATCTAAGGTTTTTTATAAACTTTTTTTTAAGACAACGTTGCAGTTCTAAACTGTATCTACCTACAACAGATCACCACGAGTACTTGACGAAACAACCAACTTAATGTACGTTATAACGATATATTTTTATGTATATACTATGCGTGTGTCACAAGTATATTATACATAAATGATTATAAAATGTATATAGATATATAGGCATGTATATATTTATACAAAACGAGCAAACCATTTCGTGAATCTCGTTGTAACGTCCAGCCGCGATGGTACTTGCAATATGTGTATTAAATTCCGTTCAATAATCAAATAATAAATTTTTAATTAAAAATGATTACAAAAATTAACACCTGTATGGCTGTATCACAATCGCGAAACCGATTAATAACGTTTTGCAACTCACAAGCAAAAAATATTCTTTAATTGTTGTATATTGCGTGTTTTCTGTACGGGGCGCGTACAAAATACGTATGTTCACACGTATGATACACTATACGATGATGATATTATTATACGGAGAAACAAATAAATATCAATTCGTTACAAGGACAGTGCGCTGTCGTCGTCCGCACTCCGTACTATCATTAAGCATATATTGCCGGTAAAAAAGAAATAATCAAATACCTGTACACAACGTACCTATGGGTAAATACAAAAAAAATTGAGGACTGCACAAACTAGGTAAGTAAGAGTTTAAGTACCATCTATAATCTATATAATAGACTATAGACAAGTGTTGCAATAATCCGAGAGGTAAAACAATCGGCCACGGTGGTTTAACTACCTGCTGCAGGCAGTTGCGAACGTCAGCCATATCCGAACAAAAAACTCGATAATGCGAATTAACGGTTCAAATATCCAATTACGAGAATACACACATACACACAGCGGTTAGCGTTTAATGTACATAAACAAAATGCGTATATGGTCGCGACTGCACTCGGCAAATAGTATAATTACAAGTTACGAAACGTTTAGGATATATGCGTCTGTGCAACCCATAGTATTTATATCTATATTCGTAAGAGTGATAAAATATATAATAATATATAACGCGATGATCGCGCAGTCACCAAATGTTTGGTTATCTGTGATAATCGACATAGAGAGTTTTCTCGACGAACTTTCCCTCCTCTCAAATCCGTCGACAAGCAGTCTCACAAAATATGAATACAAATATTTAACTCGTAGTAAAGATTTTGTTTGATTTTTTTTTTTTTTTTGCTATTAAACATGCCTCATACCGTAAAGTAATCTATTATTTTTCGTAAGATTCGTTTAATTTTTTTTCTACATTACGCTACTGAGTGAAGTTTACGATCGAATCGCCGAGAGAGAGAACGTATTAATTGTTGTTATTGTTCGTGTGACAACAAAACGCGATCGGACCAGTCGGCAAGAACAACGATATCGTAATATTCAACAGCCGGAACGGCCTCGACGGGAGTCGTCATTCTCGGCGATATCAATTATTATTATTCGTCATTCTCACCTCTCAGCCCGTAGTACGTCGTTCGTAAGAAAACTAAAACTAAACAAATAACAACAATATCACGATCGTGTACTCACGTAGTGTAGGTGATCAGTCTTTTGATTGAGCCTCAGTTCGACGGTGTTCCAGTTGTCCACCAGAGCTTTGTTGATGCCAACGCCGTCGCTAAAACGCGGGTCCAACGTCAGTGGCGACCGATTGGAGACGACCGGGCCGTTGCCCGCGGGCGACGGGTTCACGTCGTCCAAACACAATCCCGCGCCGCCGCCGCTGGAGGTGGTGCTGGTGCTGCCGGTGCTGATGGTGCCACCGCCAAACGCGGACGAGTACCCGGAAAAGCTGCCGCCGCCGCTCACGATCTTGCCGCCGCTGTTGGTGCTACCGGTGCTGCTGCTGCTGGTGCTGCTACTGCTGCGGCACCGGCAACGGGCGCAGTGCCTGCAGCACTTGACCCGCGGTATGCGGTCCAGGTCCGCGGGGTATCCGTGCGTGCCGCCGTCCCCGTGACCCGGCCACACCGGCCGCGGTATGCAGTACTGATGCACATCGATGACGCCCTCCTTGATCGGCGACAGCAGCCAAGGCGCCGCCGCCCTCTGCACCGGACTGCCCGACGATTCGTCCGACGACGGTGGCGTCGTCCCGTTCCTCAGACACTTGGTGCCCGGCGGCGAACCCTTGTCCAAGCTCGAGTGGTCCGAGTGCGGTTGGCTGTCGTACCCGGAACTGCCGCTCTTGTTCTTCCACGTCTCATTGCTGGTGTGGTGCACGTTCTCGTCGTCCACGTAAATCGGATTTATTCTGTAACGGCGTCAACACGAATTATAATCAGAATAATTGTTCCGTAACTGCAATACCTATCGATCACAGAGCAGGCGTCTTTTTTTTTTTTTTGGGGGGGGGGGGGCATAAAATAAAACAACTATCAAGTCTAGTAAATATCACTGAATAACGACAACCTCGCTTTTCTACTGTAAATTATTTAGAAAAATATTATTTTTTTTTAATGTTGACGTATCGAAATGAAAATTTAGGTTTTAGAATAGGTTTTTAGCTACTTAACTTAGTATACTATAATAGGATAGTTAGTTTGAAAAGTATGAGGGTTTTAATGATTTGAAAATTTCAATAATTTATATTGATTTTTCGATATTTATATTTACATTTATTTAACATTTTTGTAAAATCATTTTCAAAGACTATCATTCTAAATATAAACATTTTAATAACTGAAAAACAATTCGTTCAGATTTTAAATTAAGTACACCATAGTTTTCAAAAAAATTATCAATAAGAAGTGAGGGTTCTCATTTAAAAACCTGAAGTTAGTATCGCTATAGGACACTCTTTAAGTAGTACTGAAACTCTCAAGATTTTGAAAATATAATCTTAAAATACCTATATTTTAAAATTCCAAAAATCAGAATTTTGGTAAATTTATTATTAAATGAAAAAATGGAAATGAGCGTGCTTGGTGAATGGGTTATTTATGTCGTTTAAATTATATCAATTTAATTAAATAATGACTTTATCATAATATCATCTTAAAAATAATTTTTTTGCTTAAAAACATTTAACGAAATTTATTCTGTCTGTAACTACTTTTTATAGTATATTCGTCTTAAAAATAGTAGTATCACTTAAATTTTTATCAATTATATATATTTAATATTTTTTTTTCGTATTATAGTATGTCGTAGTGGTATATAATAATTAATAATACGATATTATGATGTTATTATTATTAATTATTACACTGACTTAATATTACATTGTACACTACTTGTTATTCAGTCGCTCTCAACGACGATTATAATTATTAATTATTATCGACTTACGCCATTATATATAATATACGATTATTCATCTATAATTACAACAATTATTAGTATTAACAAGGAACCTAAATAGGAATATCATACACAGAATTTATAAGATTATCGCGTATAATAACTGTATAATACATGTTATCAGATAAACAGGCTAAATGTGAAATATTTTATAAATCAATTGCATCGTGGCATTAACCTATGTCGGAAATATTAATTAAAATTAATTAAAATATTCAATATTTGTAATTATCAATTATCATTATTATTATTATACGTGAATGTAGTAAGAGACTTGGTGGTAGTTGATATTCTTAAATCATATATTCTATACTTACTGCATTAGTGTAGTACTTATGTATTAGTATATGAATACCTAACGGCTAATATTTAAATTGTATTATAATATTATGTTTATGAACGTAAAGTATTAGTTAATAACTATATGACAATTATTCTGCACTAATAATTTTCACTTATGTTATCTTTAACAAATTATAATTACATTTTGTGCTTTTTCTTGTATTCTAATTATATAGTAAAAAATAATTGAAGTTGTTATTAAAGTGTAGAATTTAGTTGAGTTACTCATTGCGAAAATACACTTTTTATACTCGAAATGCAAACATTAAACTTTAAAAATTACAATGGAGTAGGGTGATACTAGGTCAGATACGTGAGTTAATAGCAAAACGTTATTTTTACTAGATGGCCAAATGAAAAACAGTTATCATGGTGACGTGTTATCTCAAATATCAATTACGAGTACGAATGATATTTACTAAAATATACTATAAAAAAGAGAATGAACAGGTTTTGAACTAGATCTGTTTTATAATAATTTGTAATATAATATTATATCATTATCAATTGATTGCAAAATAAATATTGAAAAACCAGGGAAAATGTTTTTGTTTTAAAGTTTATATAACTCTTCATTGGATAGGTCACGAATGTGTTCAGTTTGAATTAATTATGAACAAATAATGATATCAAATAGAATAAGGGATGCGTAGATCAACATTTATTGCTGAAAATATTTTATGTTATATTATATTACATTTAGGTTAATGAAAATAACAATAAGTATAAAAGAAAAATAATTTAAGTTATGTTGGAAATATTGAAGATACTATGATAAATATTTTTTAAATTACAACAAATAATAAAACAGCTAAAACAATTTCTCATTTGAAAAAAAATTCGTTATTTTTAGTTTGAACCTTAAAGATCCAATTTTGTTAAAATTTTAACTTCAAACATATTCTATAAAAAATGACTACCATATAATTTCGATAAATTTTAATTTTTATAAGAACAACTTATGAGGAATTTTGTAATACATTTTCAATCCAGGAACAAAAATAATTCAACATAAAAAAAAAAGTACAAGAAAATTTTAAATATTTAATGATATCTAAAAGAGTAAAAATATTTTTAAAATTATATTACGTCCAAATAATTGGTGAAATGTCAAGTTTCTACGATTATTATTTTTAAAATATCAATAAAACCACAGTGATTTTATCGAAAACTGATGTTGCATTATTATTCCGATTTTCGTATGATTTTTGTTAGGTTATATAACTATCAAGATAATTATTGAGACTGTTCTATGTCTGATCCCCTAAGGTATAACTAGATAAAACGTTCTACTTGAAATCACCTTCACAGTAATAGATATACTGCTCTAAATCATGTTAAATTATCATGAATTGATACCTATTATTTTTTTAAAAAACAATAATTATCCTGTTTTAAAATTAAAATAAAATACATATAAAAAAAAAAAAAATAACGATTTTTGATGTTGTTAATATTGATTAACAATATCAGTGAATATTCATTCAAAAATTAAGAAATTTATAAAATTTAAAATAATTTAACAAAAATATTTATTTGTACTCGTAACTATAAAGTACGAAATACAATTTTGTACTGAAACATTGAGTTAGTAAAGTTCTTTTGGCTAAAGAATAATAATACAATTAATAATCTGTTGTTGTAAAATATCAAATACACACCATCAAATAGATATTACAAAATAAATAATAGTTAACATTTTATTACTTATATAGTATATAAGTAGTTTAACAGTAGTAAATAATTGTGATTATCACAATCATTCATAATATATTTTATTATGCTCACACAAGGTGGCGCAAACGAATCATGAATGAATATAAAATTAAGTTTTTATCGCGGAAGGTTATACTTAAACGTAAGTATTATTACGCTATAATTTGATGTACAAATACAATAAATAAATCACGCAATGTTAATTTAGGTCTATAGCACTGTAATCATCGTCAAATATTATACTTAATAGTTAATATAGGTGCATTTAATTAAAATACCTTATATAGTTGAAAATATATGTCTATGTACATAAATGTTTATACAACAACGTGTTAGTTAACGTAATTTCAAGGTAAAAAAACTTATTTTACTTAATAATATGTGATTACATAGGAATTTACCAACATATTAAAAGTAAAATTTCAAAAATAATTTAATGTTACGAATTCTACGAAATTTTTCATGAAAGTAATTTTACGATCTTTGATACATAAAAGCACTATTTAGTTCAATTAGAAATAAACATACTTTAAGTCTTAGTTATTCTTAATAATTGACTTACAAAAATATAAATAATAGTTGTTGTTGTCAAATTAATATTTTTTTCAAAGTTTTCGAAAAATGTTTTAAAAATCCTATAAATATCTCCAACAGTGAGTTTTGTGTTAAAAAATTAATAGAGATTGCAGATAACTAATGAAGGTTCATTTAAAAATATGTTGCAACACAAAATAAGTATTAAGTTATGGGTTTGTTTCATTATGTAGTAAATCTATCATAACATCATCTTTACTCAATTTCGGCCAGATAAAAATATTACACGCCAAACAACGACCTTCTCATCAGTATCGTAGAATTTCTCTTTACAACTTAAATTGCAGTAACTAACAACTAATATTCCGTCAAAGCAAACTATCATCAAGATATAATCTAAAAAGATATAGTTGTAATTCTTTTATTATTTTTAAAATCCTCTTTTGTATTGTTTATGAAATTTTTACAAGACCTAGTTTGATAATTATTTATTGTAACTTAGTTTCTTGTTGCCAATGGATTCAATAATATTAGAAAAATACATGTAAATAACACTTTATTAGTATGGCGAAGTATAGTACAACTAGAAAATATTTATATTCACTAAAAATATACCTATACCTATTTATTTATACATACATGTAGATTTTTATAAAACGAATTAATTAAACTTAATTGATAAATAATATTATTATTAGATATTACGAAGACTTGTGTCTATTAAAATTTGAATTTTTTAGTGATTGAGATATTCACGGGAGAAAAAATGAAACGAATAATTGGTTTTAGCATTTACTCGAAATAAGTTCTGAACAGTGGACGGTGGTGTAGAATCGTACAGGCAACCCGAATAGTCATGATTCACGAACGATAAATGGAAATAAAAGAATAAAATATAATATAATATTATTACTAAATATTTATATATACATTATATTATATTATATTATATTTTATATTTATATGCATTTCTCTTTCTCGTCAGACCGTATAAGGTCAGCTGGGGGAATTGCAACATGATTTCGGTCTTCTTGTGCTACGGGGAGAATAATGCACGAACAATGGGGGCCGATCACGCTGCATATCAATCGTCCGACAAATTGTCACAAAAGAGAACCGAAGGATAAGTAAGTCATGTACGCGTGAGCTGATTTTTGTTCGTGAAAATTTTTCGAAGCCGGCCGTAAATCTCGTATCGGCCCCGTGTCTTCGTGCCGAGGATATGAAGGTAAAACGATATTGTTACTTACATATACATATATTATTTATATATAGGCTGTATTATAAGCACTCGTACACTGACACTATACATAAATAAATAAATACATCGTTCGTGGACTGCAGCACACCACCGTAGTAAAATATATATAGTGACCTTGAGATGTAGGTATATGTGTGTGTGTGTGTATTTTATTTTTCATCTCAAATATCCAAGTACGTCCTTATTAGGTTTCTCTCGAGTTTGCTGGACCATAACCGGCAAAATACCACACACCGCCGCCTTAATACGCGGATCCCGTGCAGATTTAGTTGCGCTTCTCGATCTTTGGGTTCACAATCGCAGTACATTAATAACAATATTATCCTCGCGTGTTTACCATGGCTGCGGTTCAGAGTTCACGGTTTCGGTTTTTTTGAATACACGCTGTCGTGAACGAGTTTTTGGTGTAATTTACCAAAATTTAAATGAAAATATAAGTTTTTTGTACGGTTATTATAATATTTATATAGAAATGCGTTACAATACCAATATATCTAAATTATTTATATTTATTATCCACGAGTTAATTGTTATACCGTCGACGATACTGTGTGTGGCGTGTGAGTGTTTATATAATAAATATATAAAACGTCCACCGTTTAGTTGAGTTTTCTAATTAAAAAAACTTAAAAATGTGTTCATCCGAAAAAAAATATAAATAATTTTTGCTCAAAATAAATAACAATAGATTGATTTTAATTGATTCAATTCTAAATTAAGTGTGAACAATTCCGGCAAAAACAAAATCTCACTTTTCAACTATCACAACCAACAAACACTGACTGAATATCGTCATCGTTAATTTAAATGATGTGTTGAAACCAGTTTTTTGCCGGCTTAATTATGCACGTGGGATTCACTGTCGCTCTCTAATCCTTAGATAAACCACTGTAACCAATCGGAAGCAGGAAATCGGAATGAAGACGAATTTACAAATATAGGAACGAAAAAAAACATGTTACTGCACATTTATAAAACCTAAGATATTAACAATAGTTATCGTGAAAGATAAAAAACCGTAGCGAAGTGTAGTCACATAACTAAAATTTATCTGTTTAGTGATTCTTACGTTAGTTCTATTTTCTTGACGAGAAATGAGATTTATATTGAAGACACAATTTGTTATTTTCTACATTTCTTTTTTAAAAATTACAAGAAATACGCTGTATTAAATTTTGATTTTAAAACCATGTGATTTTAAAATTATGAGCTTTTATCGGCTGTTGCATTGGTACATTATACATAATATTATATTATTAAGATTGAGATAGAGGTATGTATTTAATTTTGTTTGTTGAACGTTTTAGAAGTTTTCTGTCATCGGATCATCAGAATGAATTACACAAAAATATGGCAATGATTATCATCTTTACTAACACTATAATTAATATACTCACATATTATACGTATATTCTGTTAGTTGTTACAAAATTTTATTCAACAATTTACCTAGTAACAGCGTAGACATGGGACTTCTTGTAGTGATTGATTGGATAAACAGTGGCCAGCGGATCTTCTGTAGGATTGGCCGGCAATTGCAGCCATTTGTGCATCTCTGAAGAAACACGCACCCATTACACTTCAAATACTACCTGTAATATTATAAATAAATCGTCATGAGCTAATGTACTTATATAATATAACATTTAACATATGATTTATTTATCTTGATTTTGTTATAAACGCATTTATAATTAAAAATTAATTACAATTTTAAGGAAGCTATCAACGCGAAGTTAAACTAATATAGACATAAGATATCTGGGTTATTTAAATATTATAGAAGTTACATCATACCATATTTAATCAATGACTATAGGAACTAACTGTCACTTTCGATAAACTTTGCTATATCGTTTTACAAGTTTCACTTTATTGTTATTCAGTATATTAATATAAATATTTCTTATTTTTAACTTATAATTTGTAACTATAATAATAATGATAATGATTAAACCCTTTATTTCACCTTTATACGTGATCTGTTTTTACATGAATACGTTGAGCACGCTTCAACAAAAATCAAAATAACTGTTATTATTATATAACTTTTTAGTAATACCACTATATTACTTTTGGAATTTATTTATATTTTAATAGTCGAAAAAACATTATTTTAATATAATATTATAATTATTAATCATCAATAAATTATCATATTTACTGAACAAAAAGGAATTATTGATTTTTATTAAGTATAATTTGTATTATTATAAGTTCTAACGTAAACATTAAACACTTAATATATTAGGTACATGATAAAATACATTGCATATACAGTATCTTAACACATAAATTGTTGTTACTGTTAATTATTAAAAATTGTATTTTAACTAACGTAGAACTGTAAAAGTATTACAAACAGTTGCATCTTCGATTTAAATTTACTACAAAAAAGACGAAAGGGAACTAGTTTGGTTTATGTCAAAATATAAAACCAGATAATATTATGTGAATTTATATTTCGTAATATTATTCTACAGATTAAGTTTCAGTTTGATTTAACAAGTCATTGATTTTTTGTATTTTTTTGATACCAATGATTTTTTTATTTAAAATTTAAAAAAAATAAACATCATACAATTTAAAAAACAAATTATTTTAAAGTAATAGCATACGTATGAGTTAAACGGTTGTAGTACTAATGATTTGATACTAAAATACTTTGTACTTAATTTGTCAGTAAGAAGACTAGATTCCTTATTAAGTTTTATTTGCAAATTATGTAGTATACATTAGAAAGAATTTTAGGAAAAAGAAAAGATTCAAGTAAAAGGTAGTAAGGGTATATATTTTAAAATAAAATCAATTATTTTTCATACAAATTTTTTATTTTTGAAAGTAAAAATGCTCGCACATTATTTGGTTCTTTTTTAGATTTATTAGGTACTTATTTATAGTGTACAGACAATAACTTTTTCTAGTAATCACACATTTATACTCAAACAAGCTTCTATTTTATTGATTATTAACAAAAATCTGTGACTTAAAGAATACTATACAATAAATATATTGTTAGATTGATATCATAATATTATAATATTATGAAGTATAGGTGATTAAATGGTTTGTACTTTTAAGTTTCAAGTTTAAAAGTTTAAGTTCAAATTAATATGTATTTAATTATATGTTAGTGAAACAAGTAAATAATAATTACTTAGCATGTGTTTCATTTTAATTGTTCAGATAACTGAATAAAAATATGAGCTTAGATAAAGAAAATAACTTTGAAAATGTGAAACTTTAATTTTAACTTTCTTAGACCAATACAATATTTTTAATTACACAACTTTGATTAGTTGTAAGACAAGTTTCTCATCGGTCTCATCGAGCTTATGGGTTAAACTTAATGCTTATATAGTTGTAGTATTAAACGTAATATGCATCGGCAACCTTGCCACAATCAAGTTCAATCAACCCAATATTGTCTAGACGTCCAGTACTCTCGTATTGTGTCATTAGACAATGATGCAAAATGAAAAAAAAAATTTAATCAATTCTATTATGAAAAAAATTATTTTTAAAGTGTATATATACATGTCTCGAGGCTTTTTCCACATCTATAATAGCCATTAACGTATACAATGCACACAATACATATTGGGCAATTACTATATAAGATTGGATGCATCGTATATTATAATATAACTGTTCTGGAATGGACATTATGTTATGAATCGCGAGCAATTATAGCCGCTGCACTTCTATTACAATAAACCCGCAGCATCGCACGACGAAATATGACTAAGTTAGTCATTATAGGAACATGAATTGTGTAGACGATTGATGTAGCCATATAAGTATCAAATTATAACCATCGTCGTTATTTTTCCTATCATTTGTTTGTTTAGATTTGTTTTTTTCGTTGCATAATCCGTGCAAATAATAAGTCGAGTTAAAATTATATGTAATTTAGATATGGCCACCGGACAGTCAGTATTCGCATGGGATCATATACCCGACAAGGCTTAATTAAGAATTTACCAATTGTATGCGAAAATACATTCTATAATCTTATCGCCAATAGCTATTTGCTCTAAAATTATTTCGAACAATTAGTTAGCGATTCATAAATTGTACTTATACATTGATAAAATAACTCAAAAAACGATTTCACAAAATGTAAAAAACTAAAACGCTCATAACACTTAAAGTATCTTTTAATTTATAAACATCATACTTTATATTAAATGGCTATAGAAAAAACTTTAAAACTTGTAAAGTATTAACACAATCAAGAAACCAAGTTTTAATATTAAAAAAAAAATGGATTTTTAAGTTACTATATCAATGTATTAAAAATTCAAAATATGTAGTATACATTAAAATTTATAATACATATATGGGTTTTATTCTTTCAATCAGATTTTGAAACTTATGATTACTTATTCACAATACTATTTTCTTTCTGCCATCCATACTGACTGCACAAATTTTTCTAAAATGTTTTAATTTCGTCACTCATTCTTATCACTAAGTACTTAATTCATCAGTTAATATCGAATTTCTACCACTTAATTTTTCTAACTCATTAGCTAATAGTTAAAATTTGAAAATACTATGTCTCTTCACAGGCATTTTCTTATATCTAATATAAGTTTTTCGTCCAACTCTGGTTGATTATATTCTTCTCTCAACATCAAACTGTCCTATTCTTGTATAGTTTATTAAGATAACATTTTTAAAAATATATATTATATTGTATTGAATAGTGTATATTCAGAAAAAATATTATTTGTTGAGATGGAATATACTAATAAAACAATACAAAAATAAAAGAAATAAAAATTTATCATATATTCGTGTTGTATTTTTACTATTCAATTTCGCAGAATAAATATCGAAAAAACAATGAAACATGAAACAAGATAAACGAATAATTAAAACAATTAATATGTAATAACTTTGAACTTGTAATATATCTTAGTGCTTCATATTATATATAGACATATAGACACACTCGAAATATGTTAAAATAATTTGCAAAAAACGAGTTTAGAAAGCGGTTTGAGGTAAACGTACGTATACTGAAATGTATAATAGCAATAAGATTATTATGTGTATTATTTGTATTGACAAATAAAAAAAAAAAACAAAATTCAATCATGTAGGCCAATTATTTTCTTAAACCATCTATTATTGAAATAATCAGAATATTTTATTTAAGTAATTTGGAAAATATTAATTAGTGAATAGATGTGTTGAAATGTAATGAAATACTAGAATAGACTGTAGGACGTAGGCGTGAATATACATAAATAAGTATATGTAAACGATATTATAAACTAGGTATAATGTTATAAATGTAGTAAAGATTTAAATATACTTACAATAATATCAAACGATTTTATTTATAGACTATTAAATCATAAATGGCTATATAGATAGATGGTTCTTGTCTCTTAGAACAACAAACAGTAGGATAGCTTTTAATTGTCTTTATGCGTAAGCAAAATTTTCAAAAAAGGAACTTCTGATTAAGATAATTATAGTCTAATTAGTATACATATGTCACTTTTGTTTCTGTTTCATTCCTATGTTTTTGTTTCTCTGTAATTGTTATTTGTCAATAATGAAAATTAAAGCAGTTTGGCATTTTATATGGACAAATAAATAAATAAACAAATTTAAATAACTCTAGTCTCATCTTGTTTCTTAAATTTCACCTAATACATTTTCTAATAAAAGATTTATTTATTTTGTGACGTTGTTCGAGTTTAATCTCAGACGACAAGAAACAATTTTGAAAAATCGCAAAAACTATTGTAATACGTCTATTATATTGGTTCTGTACATAAAGTGTATACATTGTAATGGGTTTTGCATAAATTATTTTCTTCGCGCGCGGTGTGTCATATTATTATAATAGGTATATAAACCTGTCAAACAATTACATCACATATTATGTTATGCCGATATATTTTTCATTTTTTTCCGACCGGACCATTCATTATTGTAATTTTGGGCGGGAGTATAATGAACTGTATGGAATTTGTCACCATCGCCATTGGCGCTCACGTATAGCATTCGACAAGCTATAATATATTTTCTTTTTTTCGTTTATGCGCCAAGAGGGGAACACAATGGTGTGGTTTTTATTTTTTATTTTGTTCGTACTGTGCGAGCTATAATTTATATTTTCATTCAACGTGAACTATATCATAATGTGCAGGCTTTAAAAACAGATTATTCAAACTGCACTAGATCGTCATCGTATACCATTCAACGCTCATGGATGAATTATAATTATATTATATATATGTTATATTGTTATAATATACATTGTATACGCGACATGATTTTGTTTCTCGTATATATACAGAGCGAGCGAGTGCTCGATTTTCTCTTGTTATATTACCACCTATATAAAATGTATACATACACATTATAATAATATAGAGGTACGTTGAACTTGAGACCTACAGTGACGTCATTGGTGAGGAAAATTCGTGGTACCTCTATACACGCGTCCATACATGTTTGTCACGGTCCATAACATAGTAGGTTTATTTATGTATTCACGACCATGTCACTTATACAGCAAATCGGAATTTCGAGGGATATAAACATAATATATATTGTTTGACTCCGG